ATCTGTCTCTAATCACTAGCTGCTTCCCAACTGCTAACAAATAGGCCTATATCTTCTCCATCCTTAAAAAACCCCTCACTTGATCCAGTCGTCTTTGTTAGCTATCTTCCTGTATCACTCCTTCTATTCATAGCTAAGCTCTTGAAGAAAACTGTCTACAGTCAGATACTCTACTTCCTCTTCCCTCACTCTTTCCTAAACCTACATATTGAACTTCTGAACTTATCATTTTACTGAAAGAATAATCTTCAGAGATTACTTCTCATTTACACTGTATATAACTTATGTGTACATAGTTGCTAACATGTTGACTCCCTCATTAGACTATAAGTTCCTTGAGGACACGGACTATGTTTTTTGACTTTCTTTGTATCTCTAGCACTTAGCACACTTCCCAGCACATAACGGATACTTAATAAATGCTTCTGGATTAATTGGCTGACTGGCTGGAATGGGACAAAAGTGGAGCGAGGAGCACAGTGAAGAGGAAAGGATGACTAGACATCTGGGGTTGGATATAGGTTTATTCTTTGGAAGTGAAGGATTCTGCTTCACTGATATTAGAGAATAAGGTGGATAAGTGAATATTGAGCCTGAACCATTGAGGAAAGAGTCCAGGTATGTACATGAAAGGGAGAGGTCTTCAGAGAAAGGCAGGTGACTGATTGGAAGTTTTATGTTCATCCCTGGTAGGCCTAACCTTGTGACCTGTGAAGCCTCAGGAAATGTGCAACATGGCAGACAAGAGGTGGTAATTAAGAGTGCATTCAGTAGCCTATTCGGGATGAGGAAGGAGGTAATGTTACTTAAACAAACCACAGAGCTTGTCAGTATTACATCTTGAATTCCTTTAAAACCACAGCCAAGAAGCAGGAGATGGGGGTCCTGCCTCACAGTGGTGCAAGCAGCCCTTGACAATGTTGTGGTCCTTCTCACTAAAGAAAGAACTGGAAACATTGTGGTCTGAAGTTAGGGGAACCTCTGGAAACACAGACAGAAGGCAGAAGACTGTATGGGGTTAGCCTCCTCTCCTGCCAAGCACAATTAGTGCCTGGTAGTACTGAATTAGGATTTTGTTTTATCAAGTGCTACCCAGCTCACATTGTGAACATGTAAAAATTCAGTATTTTTCGTGGACCACTTCTCATTGTGTAACTTAGTGGCTCAAAGTGGAAGAATGGGAGCCAAGGAGAAGGAGGGAAATGGGTATAGGAGGACGATGACACAGGAAAAAGGGGAATCAGGGTTTGTTTTATTTTTTAAGTTTCTAAATATTTTAGGAACTGAGGACTTTCGGTTCTTGGTGGGAGATAGCTGAGCTTTTTTTTTGTCTTACTAGCTGGGCCTCAGACTACTTCCTGCATTGTGCACATCAAGTCCCCACTAGAATATCCTTTCCACCCTTCTGCCACCCCAATTTCTAGCACCCCTTTATGTGTTGTCTTCTCCATTAGTATGTGAGCTCATTGAAGACCAAGACTGTCTTGCTTGCTTTTCAGCATAGTGTCTGGCACACAGCAATGGCTTTAATAGGTTACCTATCACATGTCTATCTATCTATCATTTCTCTCTGTCTCTCTGTCTCTCTCTATCTCTTTCTTTCTCTCTCCCTCTACTTACATTCATGTGTGTGTGTGTGTGTATAACATATATGTATATATATGTTATATATATGTGCATATATATATACATATGTATATGTATATACTATCTCCTGTCTATCATCCATCCATCTATCTGTCTATCTACCTACCTACCTACCTATCCAACTATCCATGGTTGTTTATGGACTGGTGGTTTCTAAACTCTGCAGCACAGAGCAGCAGGTTTGACGTGGAAAGAATAGTAGAGTATTCCATAAGCCATACAATTTAGGCAATACTGTTTTACTGGATCCCTCCTGAATCACTGCCTTGTGACAGAGGGGATGGAGTAACTCAGTGAAACTCTGAGCTGTGCCATGCCACATCATAAGACAGGTCATAGTTGAGACATCTGACAAAGGGTGATCCACTGGAGAAGGAAATGGCGTACCACTCTAGTAGTATCTTTGGCAAGAAAACCCCTTGGACAGGAAACTTGGACAGACTTTGGGAGATAATGGGGAACAGAAGGGCCTGGTGTGCTATGGTCTAGGGGGTCATGAAGAATCAGACATGACTGAATAACAACAATTCCATAATTCAGAGGAAACAATGACATGACTAAGGATGAGGAGAGATACTCATGCACTCAGAAACACCAATTTCCAGAGTATGGATAACAAAGTAGACTAGACATGTTAATGCATGAAGGTGCATATCATCTCAGAACAATTACTGAGACTTGGTGGGATAATATGACTGGAATATGCTAAGGGAAGATAGTTCCTTTTTCTAAAGGATAGATTAACTAAAAGTGGTGGCCAAAGGTCATTATATTTGACCTTATGTGAACCTAAAGAGAAATACACAGTGGGGTATATCTGGGTGTCCTTACAAGGAAAAAGAAGAAATATGTGGTCAGGAGTATATTAAAGACCGCTCAGCCCGATGGAGGAATAATAATAACAATAATAGTTAATATTTATATAACGCTTAATACATACCAAGCACTGTGCTGTGTTTTATAATTATTATCTCATTTGATCTTCAGTAACAACCCTGGGAGGTAGGTGCTACTATTATCACCATTGTAGAGTTAGAGAAACTAAGGCAAAACAAGTGGTGACTTGCCCTGGGTCAGACAACTAGTAAGTGTATGAGGCTTGATTGAGCTCAGGTCTTCTAGACTCTAGGCCCAGTGCTCTATCCATTGGGACACCTGGCTGCCTGAAATAGATAAGTTGCAGAAGTGGAAGATTAATGAACAGGTCATTTTAAAAGACATTTATAAATGATGGCAATTGAATGAAAATGAATGGTTCCATAGGAATAACTACAATATTCATGTGCAAAATTGTTGTTGTTATTTATCCTTCATTTTCAAAAAGAACCATGACCTCAGGAAAGAGATGTCATGACTTGCAAGTGAATTGGATTTGAGTGAAGGAGGGCTGTGCAAAGTCACCAGTCTCACTCTGTGCTCTGGAGCCATCCAGGTCCAGTGGCAAGATATAAATCAGGACAATTGGAGATGGCTCCAGATGATACAAAATAAATTATCTGGCAATGAATCCTAAGGACAGCAACAACAACAAGAATTTTTTAAAGTTATATCTGGGTAGAAAGAACATCTTCATTGTGTCTGTGATCTCATTGATGTGCATACCCCCATCACTGACAGCATCTTCTCAGCCTGTGTAATTCTTGTCCATATTCTCATGCAGATCCTTCACAGGTTATCTGTCCAGTGTGCTAGAAGACTTACTCTGGGTCTTTTAATATTTCTTAGATATTAAGGCAAGACATGGCTTGTAAATTGACTGATCTACTTCTTTTTTTGGTCATAAATTTCCTGGATGATATTTCTTATGGTCCTATTTACATAAGCTGCCCTCCATGACAGTATCTAAGCACTTTTGGGCAGCAAATGACTCTTTATTTTCTGCTTTTTGTCCTATATTCATCAAGGATGTGTATACATAGATTATTTCTATAAGATTTCCTATAGATTAAGAAATCAGCATGTGGTTTAGAAATTAATAAAATTCTCTTTTTTCCATTTTTGAATAGTAACACACACACACACACACACACACACACACACACACCCTTCCTGATAGATCTTGTAAAATGATCCCTAACTACTTTCCAGATTCTTACTGGTTGTAGCACAGATTTCGTTTATGTGTGTTTGATTTTGTCCAGCCATCTTCATAACTTCCTCTACATAATCACCATTTCTCCTTCCCTATATGCAGTAGCATATCAATGACTGAAGTAATAGAGCCCACATGTGGTGGCTTCACTATCTGATGATGAAAATGGATAAATACAGAAATACCTTTTCCAATTCTTTGTAGTCTTCCTACCACATTTATCTCTTAATTTTCTTGGGATGATGTGGTTTATTTGGTTTTTATGCCAAACTTTCTTTAGACTTACTTTCAGCTCTGCTACTTAACAGACTCCCTTGTTTCTTTAACATCAATCATATTTTCCAACATATTTTTTTTCACTATGCTCCCCTTTCCCCCTTCACATTGAAGTCATTTATTACGAAAATATAAATTGACTGTTTGGAGTATCTTTTCATAATCTTTGTAAAAATTCTTTCTTTTATCCTCTGCTACAGATGTTTGCACATAAGTTCAATCATTTCCATGGTGTCTTTTTTTTTTTTTGCTTATACTCATTATGCACATTCACAAGACAAGATGATCAAGTATCCTATGACATGCTGTTTCTAATTGCATTTGGGCTTATGATGAATCCAACTCTGATCATTCCTTTGTTTCCCTCTCCAAGGAGAAACTGTCAGCTATTTATCTGCAGCTTGTTAGGGATCTGTAAGGATGTTGAAGGCCACAGATAGTTCATGGCATGAGTCTAACAACTCCTCTCGGGTAGTGACCTATGGGCTAATTACATCTGGCTCGGCTCTCCAACCTGAAAGTCTCTAACAATGTAGAGGACCACAGGTAAGTAGGACTCTGACCCTGATGGCTGTATGAGCCCTCTCAGGTGAAGAGCCTGCTCCTTGGCCTGGATCGGTTCTCCACTCCCTAGAATGAAGGCCGGCTCAATCATAAACAATGTTGCTAGCTCAAGCGCAGCTAGCTCTAGCACAAATATGTCTCAAGTATTGGTAGCTCATGTATCAAGTATTGGGACATTCCGGGAACAAGAAGTACATGGTATTTTCACGGGAACAGCATGGGAGAAGGACACAGCCAGGAGAATGCTGCAAAGAGATGTGCTTGTTGATACTTTGATTGGTATTCGTGTGCGAAAAATTCTCAGTGTTGCCTGTTGGTAAAATATGTAAACTTTGTTGCTTTGTCCGCTGTTACATTGGGGTATGTTCCCATGAGTCAAAGATATAAAGACGCTGTGCTGTGCCTTGAATAGACGGAGTTGCTTCCATCTTGTCTCCCGCCTCTTCAATGTGTTCCGAGATAGAAGATTAAAGCTGGACTTTATTCTTCAAGGTAGTCCATGAATCCTAGGTACTGAGCTAGTCGTGACAGCAGCTTCTTTTTTTCTTCTGATTTCCTTTATCATCAGTGTGTTAATATTGATATGGTCTTGTCCTTGCAATAATATGTGAATTCCATGATGTTGAAAGAAAAAATATTAATACTTCACTTTATGTTGTAGGCACAAGCTTGACAGAAATTTTTTTTTATTAATTCATTATTACCATTATTGTTTCACGGTTTGTTCTGAAAAAGACAGAGAGACAGAGATTGAGAAAAAGTGAGAAAAAGAGCAAGAGAGACAGTGAGACAGTGAGAGAGAGAGAGAGAGAGAGAGAGAGAGAGAGAGAGAGAGAGAGAGAGAGAGATCCAAACTGACAATTTCATGTTGTCCTTGGACGTGTCTCTCCAACACAAGACATTTTGAAATAATAATAATATAGGGCTTTCACTCCGTTCCCTTCAGATAACTGTCTTTTTTCCTCTTATGTCATCTTTCTCAATGTTATGACTTTGAGGTGGAGCTTCAGAGTTGTTTTAATTTGCATTTATCTTGTTATTAATGAGGTGAAACATTTTTTTTTTCCATATGATGGTTGATGGTTTAGATTTCTTTCTTTAAAAGCTGCCTGTTCATATACTTTGATTGAGGGGCATATCAATGCATTGTTATTAGAGCAAGTAATTGGTTCAACCATCCTAGCAAGCAATGTGAACTATCTACCCAAGTCCTATAACTTCAGCTCCTGTATTCTTTGCTCTTTCTTCTCTAAAATACTACCTTTTTCAGTGGTAGCTTTCCTCAAGTATTCAAAGGCTTATTGTGGAAGAGGAGGGATTAAATATGTTCTGTTTGACCCCAGAAGGGGATAGAAGTGGTTTGGATTAGAGAGAAGTCAACAATTCAGGAACTATATCCTAAGCTAACAGGAGACAAACCAATCAGGTTACTCAGGAGGCTAAATCTGATTGAAGTATTTTGTTTCCATTATAAATATAAAGGACATCTATACAATAGAAATTCATTTTTATGTAGGCTTTGTTGTTTGCTAGTAATCTGGGCAGTGCTAATATTATTGGTCATATTCTACAGGTAAGGAAACTGAGGGTCATAGAGGTTAAATGACTTTCCTGTTCAAATAGCTAAGTATCAAAGCTAGAACTCAGGCTCTAGTCTATCTTATGCCCAACACAGTATCTCTTTTGTGTGTGTGTGTGTGTGTGTGTGTGTGTGTGTGTGTGTGTGTGTGTGTTTAAGGCAATTAGGGTTAAGTGACTTGTCCAGGGTCATACAGCTAGTAAGTGTCAAGTGTTTAGTCTGTGTCCACATTAAAACTCAGCTCCTCCTGACTTCAGGGCTGGTGCTCTATCCACTGGGCCACCTAGCTGCCCCTGCAATACCTCTTCATTTACACTAAGCAACACTGCTACTGTTGCAGAGAAGGTGGCCATGGATAAATGGATAGAGGTAGTCCGCAAGGAGAGAATAGAATTTCAGTTATAATTTAAAATTTTCCTATTTTCACTGTGTACGATAGAGTAAAGCTTTACAGTCAATAAGTTTTTGCCTATAACTTTTCTGGATTGTAAATATTTTTTTTCATACAAGGATTTGAAGACTTCCTTACTGAAATGGACAATTCATTTCCAAAGAAACATTGGACCCTAAAAGCCTAAGCAATTAAGTGTACAGATGAATCATGTATATCTTAGAAATTTACTTCTTTTATATGTAGTTGGCATTATAGTTTAATGTATTTTATTCACTTACAAATACTTTTTTTTCTGATGTTAAAAGGCAAAACAGAAGAGAAAGATTTTCTCTTTTAATGCGAATTTCTTAATAGGTACTCTCTGCTAGTAATATTGAAAGTGTTCGGTTATTTCAGTCACATCCAACTCTTCGTGACTCCTTGTGGGGTTTTCTTTGCAAAGATACTAAAATGATTTACCATGTCCTTTGCTAGCTCAGTTCACAGATTAGGAAACTGAGGCAAACAGTGTTTCGTGACTTGCCCAGAGTCACACAGCTAGTAAGTGTCTGGGGCCAAATTTGAACTTAGGAAGCTGAGTCTTCCTGACTCCAGGCTTGGCCTTCTATCCACTGTGCTACCTAAGTGTCCCAATATTGAAGATATTCTCCTCTAAATTATATGCAAATTATATAAACATTCATTTTTTTAGCCTTTAGAACTTAATTAACATTGATTTGTTTAGTGCTATAGACTACATTCTAACAGCTTTGAAAAAATTAAAATTTAAAAGATATGAATACATTTAGTAACTTTTCATTTTAATTCCTTTACTTCAAAATTTTCTAATTAAAAAGGTATTAATTTTTGTGTTTGTTGTAATTTTATTTGTAAATATTTAAATGACTAAATATTTGTTTTCCAAATAAATATGAGGCTATTGCTTCTTATTTTTTTCTGACGTAGTTTAATGAACTTTACCTGGAAATCTAGCATTAAATTTAAATTCCCTCATTGCTGTTTAGACAATTCATATACCCTGAGTAAAAATTTTTTACAATTTCAGTAGTAAGCCTCCTATAAATGAGACTACACCTTGTTCAACATCCTAAATGTGTTTTCCTTTTCTATTTTTACTGTGCTGCTTCATCCTGTGAAATGGGTTTTCAAATAGATTACTTTTAGTTTGTTTTTTTTTAAACATCAAAGACAAGTTCTAGAGATAGGTACTTAAAATGATTGAAACCTGTCTGGTTCAGGTTTATTTCAGAAAACATTTAAATCTCCTAGTTCAAATTTTTTAGGAAATCTCTAAGTTGAGTTCTGATTTCAATTAGCCTAGTAGGTGATGAAACCAAACCAAACTTGGGTTTACTGTGATTTAGGTATATACACATCTCTCTATCAGTCTCTGCCTCTGTCTCCCTCCCTCCCTACTGCCACCTGTCCAACAATGCAATAGATAAAACAGTAGGACTGGACTCAGGAAGAACTGACTTCGTATTTGGCCTCACATACTTACTGCCTTTTTGACTCAGGTTCCCTTCCTTTACCGTTCCCTTTTTCCTCTTTCCCCTTCCCTCTGTCTATATCTCTCTTGTCCTGGAACTGTGATTCAAGGCCTAGAGGGAGCCTATCCAATTTGGACATAGATATACATGTACATGTACATACACATACACATACACATAAATGTAGAAACTCATCTCTATAGTGATATCTATATATCCATATATTCAATATAACTATCTAGATATAAAATAGGTGAATGGACATAGATGTTAGATATATAGATATAGATGTTAGATATAGATATAGATATAGATATAGATATAGATATAGATATAGATATAGATGTAGATGTAGATGTAGATGTAGATGTAGATGTAGATGTAGATGTAGATGTAGATATAGATATAGATATAGATATAGATATAGATATAGATATAGATATAGATATATATCTATGTCTATCTATCTATCTATCTATCTATCTATCTATCTATCTCTAACATTGTCCCTCCACCTATTTTAAAGTTGTATCTATAACTCTATATAACTATCATAACTATATAGCTATAACTCTTTATAACTTTGTATGTAGCTATATATACATATATAACTATACACATGTATCTGTATACATGTAAAGATACATATTTACTATATATCTACATATACAATATATATTATATAGTTATGTATATAGATGATAGATTTCACAATGCTGATTGTGAAAATGAATATGATTACTATCTTGATTTGCTTGAGCTCCCCAATTATCCAGGTTACTGATGGAAGCTGTATGGGACGAAGTTGACCAGTCAGGATACAGAATGGATTGACAAACCAACAGTCCTTTGTGATCAAGAGTAAACCACCCCAAAAAAAAGAAAAAGAAAAAAAATTTTTTTTCAATTTTTGAAAAAAAGAGTAAACCCAACTGGATATGTAGAATCAGTGATCCTAAAACTAGCTATGTTCAAACCAGCTTTGGGTGGCGCCTGAGCTATCTCAGCTTAGTCTTGGACCCTTGAAGATATCCTGTTTATCTTGTTGTCTGTACTCAGGCCTTGGACTCACTGTGTCATCCTGCTTATCTTGTACCAATAAGCCAGTATCCCTGTTCCTGGAACTCTTCACCCTTCATTCCTGGAACTCTCTGTCCATAACATGCCATCTTTTCTCCCCAGATTGGCCCATTTCCTGCCTCTCTTTCTCAATGCCCACCTTCCTTGTCAGAAAAGTATATAAACTACATCCTACTTTGCCCAAACTGAGCTGTTTCAGTATTAGGCTTTCTGCTCCACATGTATGTAAACACCTGCTTAATAAAGATCACTCGACTTTTACAAGCACAGTGTTCCTTCAGTTTTCTTCTCTTTGGGAAAGAGGGATCCAGGTTCCATAGGATTTATGCTTCAGTTTGTATGATAAATGTTTACCTACTAACTCTCTTAAAAATAAGCATACACAGCCTACTTTTAAGTTTAATCTGCATTATCAACATTTTATTTATTACTTTCTTAAGTCGAGACAATCAACAAAAAATAAATCAAGCCCTGATTTCTAGTGTTTGCTGATTTCCAAAGTGTAAGTGCTTCTAATAATTGGTTCCTGTGAGCCAGTTCAAGCTGCCTTCTACACATTTTTTCTCTATTCATCTATCTATCCATCCATCCATCCATCCATCTATCTATCTATCTATCTATCTATCTATCTATCTATCTATCTATCTATCTATCTATCTATCTGTCTATCCGTCTCTCTATCTGTCCATGTCTCTGTCTGTCTGTCCGTGTCTCTGTCTGTCTGTCTGTCCATCTATCCATCTGTCTATCTCGACACATACCCAATTAATCAGGCTCTCTCTAGTCCTTGATTCACAATTTGTCCCAAGCCTAGTCCTTCCTTGCTAGTGAAATAAATTATATTCTTTGATTTGGGATCAAAACACGGAAGTTAAATGTTTAGAGATGGATTGGACAGGGGAGCAGCAAAATGTGGGGAGACCCACAGGCTTGTAATAGCCACAGTGAAATGTGATGAAGGCCTAAACGAGTGGGGGTAGCCCTTGAATAGAGAGTAGACAAATTTAAGACAAGTCGTGAAAGCATAAACTGAATGGATATGAGAAATGAGAGAGAGGAGTAAAGGATGGTTCAAAGAGAGAAGTGATTGGAAATATGATAGTATGCCTAAAAAAAATAAGAAAAGCTAAGAAGAGAGGAGATTTTTAAGGACAAAGATGAGTTCTATTTCACATATGATGAGTTGAGATGTTTATGAAACATTGGGATGAAAAGAAATTGCAGTTGGTCATGTGGGCCTGGAGTTCAGGAAAGAGAACAGGGTTACACGTTTGTGTGTTATTCTGTTTGCACACAGGTCATATGAGTTGTGTACTTAGAAATAATATGTGAAACCAAGAAAACTGATGAGATCACCAAGAGAGTGTGGAAAATAAGAGAGGAGGGCCCAGGAAGGAGCGTTGAGGTAATTTCCTGCAGTCCTTGCTTTGGATAAAAATCTGTGACTTGTGAAATGGTTGTCCTTTTCATCTTTTATAAAACTCTTTTCCCTTCAATGTCTATCTCTGTATTATTTCCACAGTGGTAGTTATGCCTGGTTAAAGCTGAAGTGGCTTCTCTGCTACTCTCCAGTAACTGGGGTGTGGTAAGTTTAGGGGCATAGGCATCATGTACAGAGAAATCCAGAAGGACGTTCTTTCAAGCTGTTTGTCTGATTTTGCTTGCTCAGAATTTGAAGATATCACATATTCAAGTGGAGTTCTCTTCTGAAACTCCCCAGACTATGTTTTGCTGGACAGGTTCTCTCTGTTCAGAACTCTACCTCTCCATTTGACTTTAATTGTTTTACTGAACATTTCCCAAATTAATCAGACCAAAGGACCTGTTGGGGTTTGAAATATACTGATGAATCTCATGAATAAAGGAGTTCTGGGACTTGGAATAACACCATGATAAAAGGGAGTCAAAGACATTTTAGAGAAATGGAGAAAGAAAAAACAAGTTTATATATATATAATATATATATATATATACAGATAGATAGATAGATAGATAGATATAGATATAGATATAGATATATCTATATCTATATCTATCTATCTATCTATCTATCTATCTATCTATCTATCTATCTATCTATCTATATATGTATATCCTTCCTATCCAGTTTTTTCCCCGTATCTTTCCATAAAGAATCTATCCAAAAATTCTGGGAAACTTCTCCTTTTTTTAAAAAAAAAATATTTTGTGGGTATAAATGTAATACACAGGCTTTTGTCTCATTTTTACTATCAGCTTAATTTTTTTTATGTTCAGACATTTCTTTAATAATGACTTTTACATCATTTATCTTGCAAAAGCCATCACTGGCAATATATGGCCACCCACACAAATCCTACAGACCTACTCACTACCCTGTAAATGCCCCTCACTCACCACCACTTCCCCTTTGTGTATTGTCTCCCCCATCATAAAACAAGCACCTTGGAAGGGGCTGTTTTGCTTTTTATTTGTACCCTTGGTGCTTTAGGACTGTGATTAGCACAATGTAATTGCTTAATAAATGCTTTGTTATTTATTTCTCATTCATTCCATACTGTTTCTTTGTAGATTGTGCCACGCCATGACCTGTAGTCCTGGGTAAGGAAAGCTTATATTCTTATATTTTATTAGTTATATTATAAAAATAGTAAACTCTAAAGTATGGGCAATACAAAGAAATATGGGAAAATCCTTATGAAGTAAATGCAAAACAAACAAAACAGAACCAGAACTGGAAGAAAGTTACACTCACTAAGATGATGTGAGAAAAAGGATGTTTAAAATACTATATTTTTACCCATTGAAATTAGTTAATCTCAACAAAAATAGTTACATTTATTTTCTGTATTGATTTTTAATGCTAAGTTTCTATTAAAAGATTTATTTGAAAATTAAAGCTATGGAAAACTATTTGTTCTCATTAAATTAAAGTAATATTCCTGGAGAAGCATTTTTAAAAATAATAACCAAGGTGCTTTATAGATATCTGAATGACGATTAAGATGAAGTTGCTTTTTATTTTGAGATAAGTGACAGATGGCCCCTTAAAATTGTGCTGTGAATGATTTTCTGTCCCTCTGAATATTCTCAATTGGTGATCCAGATGTTGTAGTCAATTCAATCCACCATTGATGGATCCAGATGTTGAGTTCAATTCAATTCAACATTGATTAATGTTAGGCTGGGGATACAGAGATAAAACAAAACAGCTGCTGACTCCAAAGAGTTTATATCCCACTGTGAGATTATAGTATGTTCACAGATAAGATATAGATAAATATCTATATCAAAAATATAAAGTAATTTAAGTTAGAGAGCTTTAACAACTGGAGGTATCAATGAAAGCTTTGTGTTAGTGGTAGACTCTTGAAAAAAAGCTAGAGATTCCAAGATATCTGGATGTGAGGATGGAAACTTCCAGGTATGGGTGACAACTTGGAAAAACAAATGGTCACAGTAGCAGCAGGTAAATCCATCTGTTTTTGGAATGTAGAGCTTGTGAAAAGGAATCCTGTGAAATAAACTTGGCGTGGGGAGGAGGAAGAAACCTGAAAAAGTACAGTGGAGCAAGCCTGTGAAAAGGTCATGAATGCCAGCTTGCTCAGAGGTAATAGGGAGCCGCTGTAGTTCCTTTAACAGGGGAATGACACATTCTAATCTGTGCTTTAGGAATATCACTTTGACAGATGAGTAGGGGATGCAGTGGAGTTGAGAGACTGGAAGCAAGGAGGAAATTATAAGATTATAGCAATTGATCCTGCAGGCAGTAATGAGGCCCTGAACTAAGATGGAAACCATATAAGTAAAAAGAAGGGGTTGGTGGACGTACTAGATGTGCTAGGCATCTACATATTATAATGGCTAAAGCTTTGGACATGAAGTTAGGAAAACCTGAGTTGGAATCCTGCCTTAGACACTTACTGTGTGACTCTGGATAAGTCATTTAATATCTCTGAGCCTCAGTTTCCTCATCTGTAATTTTAGGGCGAGTTGGACTCCATGGCATATGAGATAGCTTCCATCTCTAAAATTAAGATCCTATGACTTATTCCACAGGTTTGGTCACACATTTAATCTTCTGCAACTGAATTCAGTGATCCATTATTTAAGAAGATTTCACAGTGTTATTTGATATATAATGATGTAAGCTCTGAAGGCAATTCTGAAAAAAAGATTCCAAAATTTAGAGCAATGGTAGAATTTGAAGAATAGACTTTATATGTTTCTGAAATGACATTTGAAAAAGAAAGCATTTATTTGGTTGTAGAAGTTGTAGTTCTTTATTTTTAACAAATCATGTTGCTTCTCTAGCCATGCACAATGTCTTTCACGAGCAAAAAGAGTTGTTGTGAGGGAATTCTAAAAATAAAGCATTTCCTCTGCAATTCAGCTAATCAGAACAGGAACTAACTGCTTCTGAATTTTGCCCATTACTAGTGCCAAGTAAAATGAGATATCACCTACAATAGAGCCCACTCTATCTGTGAGCACCTTCATTGAAATGGTCCAATCAAACTGAGCAATGTTTAATGGAAGCGGCCTTTGAATGAATGATGGAATAAGTTAGTCATTTTGGAATCAATGTCATAGCCTTGAATTATATTAGAAAAATAAATTGTATTAGGGAATTAAAAATATAAATTTTATAATGTGTAATATTTCTATGTATATTTAATCTTGTTTTCTGTGATTAGTATCTTTTTCTTGATGGAAAATAGTTTTTTCCCCTGAAATATCTTCAAAGGAAGAGCAATAATGGCTAGAAGTTTTCAGCCTGGGATAGAAACTGGATAGGGATGGGACCTGTGATAGGGGCTCCTAGTGAGGAAATGCTTCCTGCCAAAGTAAGTTGGCATCCTCTGTGCACTTATTGTTTTGGAGTTGCATGGGGCATTGAGAGGTAAAGTGATTTACCAGGGAGTATGTGTGTCTTTGTCTGTCTTACACATACATGCACATATTTATAATGAACATACATAAGCATATTCATGTATACATACATATATCTCTGTCTCTAACAAATATACAAACATCTACATATATTTACATGCACACATGGATGTATATGTCTGTCATAAATGCATATATATACACATGCATTTTGTGTAAGATAGACACACATCTATATATGCATATGTGTACACACATTTGCAATGTATATATATGTGTGTATATATATGCACATGTATCTATTGTATGTACACATATATGGGAGAGACAGAGAGATATACAACACCCTGGACAAATGACTTATCTTCTTAATGTCCTAGGCATCTCTTTAAAACAGCAAGTTTCACGGAGGGTGTCAACCTACGTTGGGTAGAGGGAGTTTCCTCACAAGGAGGTTCCTCTGCCAATGCAATCAAGATTCCATCTCCATCCAGTTTCTATTCCAGTTTGAGTATTTCTAGCTACTATTGTTCTTCCTTTGAATATGTTTCAGAGGAAATAATGATTTTCCATCAAGAAAAAGATATAAATCACAGAAAACAAGATGAAATAAACACAGAAATAGAGGATACTCCATATTTTATATTTTTATCTGTATAATTTATTTCCCTAATATAATTCAAGGTAATGACATTGATTTAAAGAATGACCGGGTTTACTCAATCACTCATTCAAAGGCCTCTTCCGTTAAATGCTGCTTACTTTGATTGGACCATTTCATGTACAGTCCTGATAGCTAGAGCTGGCTCCATTACAGGTGATACCTGCTTTTACTCAGTATGGCAATTCTGAGTAATGGACATGAAGCAAAAGTATTCATCTCATGCCCTGAATAGTTGAATTGTAGAAATAGTACCTAGTTTTTAGAATTTTTCTAAGTTGGAGGAGGGACTTGAACCCCAGTCTTCATGACTTTGAAGCCAGCCTTCATTCCCTACATCATTTTGCCTCTGTAGCCTACAGTTTAGGAGAATCTGGGTTTAAATTTCACCTTTAACTTAAGCTATATGACCATGGGCAAGCCTCTTCTCTGGCCCACAGGGAACCTTGTAAGGCCAATTAATTAAGTCAAAGTTTATAATCTTTGTTGGTGGAATGAATTCCCATACCATAATTTCTGTGTGAGGTAAAAATCATTAATCCTTTCTGTAGCCACATAATTCTGAAAGAGATAAACTGAATTTTTTTTAGGGGCTAGAAATATGGCCTGTATTCCTAACTCCATGAAAAGAAAACTTATGGCTGGTATTTAATAGAACCATTAACATTAAAATGTTGTTCTAAGCATGTTTGACCCCAGTTAACATTTGTTCTTGCTTAGAAGGTCAATTCCATGGTCCATATGTAACATGATAGATTTCTAACAAGGCAGATGCATAATTATATGCCCTTCAGGATTGCACAGCAAAAATATTTCTTTTCCCAACTTGATGGAATAAGTCTTTATGTTTTATGAGAAGCAGCATGGCATAGTACAGTGGTGTCAAACAAATACAAATAGGAATCACTAATTCATACGTCAGGTTCCATGCAGAGCACATATTGACTTAGTTTTAAAATGTAATGTTTTATTGTATTTTTATTTATTTTGGTAAATATTTTCAAATTTAATTTTTATCTTGTTTGGGCCATATGATCCACAGGTTAGATGTTTGACACTCCAGTGCAATGTTATTGAAAGTTATGTTGACTCAGTTACCCATTTCAGCTTTTTCCATTACCTCCTCTTTGTCACACACCCCTACCTGTGAGCTTTGTACCCCTGCCTGCAAACTGTCACCTTCTTGCTAGGTTGGTGAGGAGCTAAGATGCAAGGGCTCAGCTTCTTTTACTGACATTGACCTACCTGAATTGTCTTAAAGTTACTTATAAAAGCTGGCCCCCGCCTTGAAGCCATCACTGGTCTTCCATGATCAGCCTGTCAACATGTTGCTACCTTGACATACTTATAATAAATTCCTTTTAATTCTCTTTGTCCTGAGTTTTGACCTGTTAATCAAAGTGAAAACCCAAATGAAGATTTTTCCTTTCAACAGTACATCAAACTCTTAGTGTGAAGAAAACCTCTATTCAAATTATGCTTCAGACACTAGCTAAATGACTTTAGACAGTTCACTTAACCTCTCTACCTTAGTTCTTTTCATCTGTAAAACAGGGATAATAATGGCACCTACTTCATTTTTTGGAGAATAAAGTGAAAAAATAGAGAGATATTAAGTGCTTTGCAAACCTTAAATGTCTTTATAAATATTAGATGATATTGTGGTGGTTGTTGCTGAAATGTGGGTAATAGATACAGTGATGATGTGAAAGAAGAATTCTCCATTTCTTAGGGAGTATTTATGTTCTGGCTCACTATTGCAGATACATTTAGGCATATGTCGTTAAAGGTAGTTTTTTTTTTGGGGGGGCAGGGTAGGGATTGGGCAAGCCAAATGGGATGGAGTGCTCTTTTCTAATGCAATCAACTTGAGTCCTTACCTATTATATTCTCCCAACTGTTAGATGGCAGGTACTAGTGCCCCAGTTCTATTTATCCATTTACTGTCAATTAACTTGGAGAAAGAAATATTTACTTGGAAGATATAAATGTATATATAGTACAACTATTTCTCCCCAATATATTCCCCTATACCAACCTGGTCCCT